AACTAAATTACCCAGAACATAAAGCGAGGGCGTTTCTTGACACCTGCCCTCCGGCGGTTTTCATTTCAAATTGCTAAGTTGCTAAAAGTAGGTACATGAATTACAGAAAACCACTGGCGGTACATTTATTAAGAACCACTTCGATAAATAAAGCAGATTTAAATTATCTTGATATTAAAATTTATCTTTATAGAAAATAAAAAAAAATTTTCATTGTCTTTTGTATATTAGAGATTAAATAATTTTTGTTAAGTCTGAGCCAACTGTAAGCGACTCAGACTCTAACTATTGCAACCATTATTATTATTGCCTTGTGTATTCATACCACAAATTAACAATTATATTTTTTGAAAAAATGTTAACCAACTAACAAAGTAAAAAGGTTCCCCACAGATGTATCAACAAGCAGTAATGTTAGGAATTTTTTAACAACAATAATGAAAAAATATGTATAACCAGTTATTACCTTAATTATCGCGACAAAAATGAGACATTGGACCTGTTTGCCCCCTGGCCGACCTATTTATCACGCCTATGAAGGTAAATTTCTAAAAATGTGAAAATATCTGGAAGTTTTACTGCACATAGTCTGATAGCTGTTTGTTTTAGATGTGTTATTTGTTGTAACACAATTGGTTTGGTTTTCACAATAATAGCTCAAAGTGAAATTGCACCTATGTCCTCTCCCTATCCAACTCAAAAAAAAATCAGACTCCATTTTAAGGCACAACATTATTTTCATGCGGATTATAAATATGAATCTAATTATTAATTTTATTAATTTGATTATTAGGTTTTGGACAACCTGTTATCAAGCAGTATTGATATCCAATTCCACTTGAAAATATAGATCTAAACATGGTACTAGGTGAAACTAAGGCTACCTGACATTGCTGCAATAAATTAAATTAAAATTGAACAGAAAAAAGGATAACCACTGGATTGACTTCTAGTATAAAATATATCAATTAGATAGTACAACTATTGAGTTGACTTCTAAAAAAGCTACGAAGTTGAGAAGAAATATCATCACAACAGATCAGAGATTGATGTTAAGAAAAAACAATGAAAGGTAATTGGTTATCAAACTGAAAGTTACAGAAAGAAAACATGTCATACACTATTAGCTTTACATTTTTATAAATGCATATCTATATGTATACAATAATTGATAAAATATATGAAAGTGGTGTTGAAAAATTTGTATTTCTTTAAAATAAAAATGATGTTTCTTTTCATAATCCCAGATTGCCACAGATTGTCATCTTCCGACCGGGGGCATATCGCGTACAATCATTATTGGGTTGAAGTGTCATGCGTATAAACGGAAGACTTATCAACCCGGAGAACTGAGCAATAATGGGCTCTCATACAAAAGCAATTGTGTTTGGTGGTAAAATATAAATACATTTAGTGATGTAAAAAATTGTGTCTTAATGAAATTTAAGATCAAGACAAAAAAAATGTATGTACCATAAATGATTGTAAAATGAATAAAATTAACCGACTGAATTTTTTTTCCTTATATAATATTTTCTTTTGTACTACGATTAGAACCTAAGTTTTAGAAGATTTTATGATAATTTTTTTCACGTACGTAGCTACTTATAAAACGGCCCAACAGTTTGCTTATCTCCATTTGGCGTGTTTTATTATTATAAATTTTCTAACATTGATAAATTTTTTTATTGATGCAGAAACACCACGTAAGGGACATTTCCACTTACAAACATTGCTATCTTCATTTACAAGCGGAAGTGCTTGACATCAGGTTGCCAGAGGGTATCGATTTTACGACCTCTGATTTAAATCCCATAGCTCTATCCACTAATCAAAGGGATAGCCAAAATGTGATGAATATGATGCATAATATTGAAATTGATGCTTTTGAACAAATTTTAACTTTTTGAACATTTTTGAAAAATTATTTAGACTATTCAAATCTTACTTATTGTTAGAAAATCATCTTCAGGAGACATTAATTATTATCTGGATTTTTGTTTTTCTAAAATGAAAAAGCAGTGAATTAGTTTACAACAATAATATTTTCATTATTATTATATTTTGTGAAAAGCAATTAGAAATCCTAATACTAGTCCGTTCTATAGATGGCAACCCAAATAGTTGCCCGATCTCTGTGTGATAAATTAGTACAACTTTTGTAATGTGGCGAATATTTATTGATGCTGAAATGTCGAATTAGGAGCTCTTTTCACTTAACACAGATTGCTATCTATATTTCCAAGTCCAAACCTGCCTGAAAATATGATGTTTGAAGCGGGATCGAACGCGGGACCTCTAATTCACGCCTAGTTGCAATAGAATAAATTTTGCAGACTATTATATAATGGTATGGGGTCTTTAATTATAATTTACTATAAATAAATATCGCTTAACATTTTAGTTCGATGGTTTGAATTTCATGTGCGAGTTGTATATATACGAGTATATGGCAATACCTAGCGATAATAACTTTAATATCGATAAAAACTATTTAAATTCCTGAATAATGTTACTGGAGAATTTTTGCTACTTCAATAAAATATTAGTATTTATATTGAAATATTAGTATTATTAATATTTTTTAGTGATAATATTTTTTCTTGTAATATCTCCTACACATACACACATTGACGTACATCAATTTGGTCTGCCAAAATAATCAAAGACTAAACACGATATCAAAAGATATTAAAAATTGTTTGTTTGATGGAAAGTTTATAAATAATGGATGAATGCTATTGCATTTACATTATTTCAACATATAAACATAAAACATATAGCCTACATATAAAATAAGCATGTGTGTTGAATTGATTAGCAGGGCCCGATGGTGAGATTTCACACGAACACCTTAAGTTCAAATTAAAAAAAAAACTGTACCCATGAAATACCAGTTTTATTTTATTCTGCTTGTTTATACTTTTTATATTCTGAATTCCAGAAATAAAGAAATTCTATATTAATCGATAGATCGCTTTTAATCGATATTTTACATATGTTTTTAAGGAATTTAAGCAAAAGCAAAAGCAATTGAAACAGAACATAATGCATCAACAATTTGGCAGAAAAATATTAGAAGCATAAGATGATCTTTTTCAATAACATGTTCTATAAATTGATATTTTTTAGTGGTGCATACTGAAACAAGTACCACAAATGAAGATCTATCAATTTCTCACAGCAAATATCCGATATATGTATTTCAAATGGCATGTGATTATTTTTTCTACTTGTAGCAGTATTTACTACAAAACTCATTAAATAATGCAAACTATAAAACTAGTGGGGTGCATGGCATCGTGCTTTAAGGCAACTTGCTGGAACTTCCCGTAATTGAAAATCTTGGTACGGAACTCAAAAAAATTTACATAAAATGTGTACACATTATTAAAATCTCTATAAAAAATCTGATAATTTAATGTACATGTACATATGTTCAATAAAAATTTTTGACCGCCAAATGACATTTTTTTAACTCAGTTTTATTAAGAGTCCATAACCACTGAACCTGCCTTTCCAAAAATTTAATCAGTTTTTCATATTGTCTATACAAGTAAAATGTTTTTTGAATTATTAAAATCGGACGCTCCGTTCTCTTAAAAACTGAGTTACCGTTTTTGACACTTCTTGCACCGTATCTTCGGAACGGCTAGACCTGCCTTCGCCAAAAACTAATCATCACGTCTCCTTATCAATACGAATCGAATGTTTTTTGAATTATTCAAATCAATTGATCGGTGTTCCCGAAATCGTCGACGAAAATTTGTATCCGCTCACACAAACACATACACCCATTTTTTCTAAGGTATGCCAAAATATTCAGAACCCATTGAAACGTAAGGATATATGAAAATTTTCATTTTCGATTTTTTTGCGATTACTATAACTTACCGTACGGGAAGTTAAAAATAATTTGTGATACTTAATGAAGTTTTGTATCAATGCGAATGTGAAACATTTGCACATACACAATATTAATTATATCTAAATT